TTCCTGAACCAGCCATGCTTGTGGACTTCAACTCCCAGAATTCCTGAGCCAACCATGGCTGGCTCAGGAATTCTGGGAGTTGAAGTCCACAGGTCATAAAGGAGCCATAGTTCCCCACCCCTGAGGTAAATGGAGATCTATGGTTATTTGAAAAAAAACCTATTTCACTTTCCTTCCATTCCAGATATGAATATCATTGGGCAGATGGGACAAACATCAAGAAGCCAATCAAGTGCTCGGCACCAAAGTACATCGATTACCTTATGACCTGGGTTCAGGATCAGCTGGACGATGAGACGCTGTTTCCATCCAAAATAGGTAACTCTGAAATGTGCGCTTTGGCACTATACCAACTTAAAAATGGAATGGCCGTTTATGTTATTTCTGAAAGTACAGAAGGAAACAGAGCACCAGGCACACACACACAAATATAAACTTCTGAAGAATACAGAATAATAGAGTTGTAAGGGACCTTGGAGGTCTTACAGGCCACTCAGGCAGGAAACCCTACACCATTTCAGACGAATGGTTATCCAGTCTCTTCTTAAAAGTCTCCAGTGTTGGAGCATTTACAACTTCTGGAGGCAAGTTGTTCCATTGGTTAATCATTCTCGCTGTCAGGAAATTTCTCCTTAGTTCTACATTGCTTCTCTCCTTGATTAGTTTCCATCCGTTGCTTCTTGTCCCCCTTTTCTGTGTGGCAACCCCTTAGATATTAAGAGTGCCACAAAAAATATATTTAATACTGATTACAATTGGGCAGTTTACAGAAAGCCTATTTTAGCATGACATCAGAAAGATTCCAGGCGAGGTCAAAAACACATATAATTGTTTAGCAGTCTTTATTTAAAACCAGTAGATAATTTTGGAATAGATCATGTTTTTAATCCTTTCCCTTTAACATTTAGTGATCTTTTAAAAGGACATTATGGATGCAAAAAGAAAAAAGGTACATTCTACCGCATGTGGTGGTCCTGCCCGGAGACCCAAAAATATTGGTTAAAAATTAAGCAATGGTTGCAAGAGATTATTAATGAACCAATAGAACTAGAACCAGAGCTATTTTTATTGGAGATATTCAAAAAGAAATACGGGAAAAATATTAAATATATAGCATTACATATTAGCGGACCTCGCCCGAGCGCGAGACAAACGCTGAAGAAAAAGAAGAAGAAGAAGAAGAAGCATTACATATTGTAACTGCAGCCAGAATTGCTTACGCCCAGTGCTGGAAACATACATGTATACCACCAGATGAATTGATCGTGCAAAAAATAATGGCTTGCGCTGAGATGGATAAATTAACTGATGTTACAAGATAAAGAGGAGATCGAGTATTATAAGACTTGGGAAAAATTGTATGACTGGATTGAGCAAAGATAGATAAACGGATGATGAAAAAATTTATGATAAGCAACATATAAACTAATGTTTACATTCGCATAAATTGTATATATTTGTAAATAATCCACAAAATAGTAGTATAAGACGAATGCCACAAACTGTTGAAGTTAAGATATTTGTATTCTTTGTTTTGTTTATTTTTTTTTAAGTTATAAAAGACTAATAAAGTTTATTTAAAAAAATAAAAATAAAAGGACATTATGGGGAAAAGAAAAATAACACCACAGATGAGCTCTACAAAAAAAATGACTCCTGGTGTTCCTTGCTTCATGACCGTAATTGAGATCAGAAGTTCTGTCACCAAGCAAAGCGATCATAAAAGGCGATGTCATGTGACCACACTGCCTAGTGATGGCAGGTCCACCAGCCCCGTTAACCATCATTAAGTGGTTCACCCTGGGTCGTTATGGCCACATCACCCCGACTACTGGTTTCCTGCCAGCTTCCCCATTGACCTTGCTCAAGGGAAGCCTGCAGGGAAGGTCACAAATGGCAATCACATGATTGTCGAACGGTTGCTGAAAGCCCAGGTCGTAATTACATGACCACTGAGATGTTGCTATGGCCAGAATTTTGAGGGCAGGTTATAAGTCCCTCTCGTTCAAAACTGCTGCGGGTTCAAACAGTTGCTGAATGAGTAGTCGTTGGGTGAGGTGAAGGTCACCTATAGATGAAATTTCAAGTTTGTTCCTGAATGCATGTGTCATATTGGCTGGGGAAAACCCGACCCTGAAGGACCCGAGGTTTTCCCCACCCAAATCAAAACCCAAAGTTCTTGTCCCTAGGACACACGTCCATTTATCCATCACATGGTCCAATCAGGTCACAGTCTCCAGCTGGCTTTTGTCCACGCCTCTCCAACACCTGGTGAGGATGTTCTTGGCTCACACAGGAAATAATATTATTTTGGCTACACATCCCCCAACTATCTGTCTTCCCCCCCCCCCTCCCGTTCCCACAGCTGCAACCCGTCTGGCTGTGGCAGCCCTGAAGATGCTCCCAAAATGGCTTCATGGCTGACAGGCTGCTCATTATTTCCTTAAGCTCTTTTGTCTTTTCAAAGCAATGTGAGATGCTTCTCTGCTACAAGGAAATACTTACCCTCCCTAAAATATTTTTTTTACTCCATCTTTTTATAGAAGTTGCTAAAAATGTATTGGTGTTTGTCCATTTCTGACTAACTTGGCAATCATACCGTTGGCTAATTGTATGGCAGTCAGTTGGCTAATTGTATAGCAGTCAAAAATAATAATAATTCTTTTGCTCTTTTTGCTTTTATTAACAAATTCACACATCTATAATTATGAGTCCCAAACTGAATTCTTCTAAAATTAGAGACTAGAGGATCTAGATTCTGTAAAATGGGGTTTTATCTATAGTAGGAATATCTTGAAGATGGGTTCCTTGCTAAATAAAATAAAAAATAAAAATCACTTGAAAGGCAACATCTGTCTTTAAAATAGATATATCCTGTTTTTATTTTATTAGTTTTTATTATTTTATTTTATTTATTCCCAATTCCAGATGATTCTAGGCAGAAAGCAACACACACACACACACATTCATAAAATCCAAAAATTAATTTTGCAGGATGCCTTTGGGCTACTGGGTTATGCCACTGTTCATGCCAGTCTCACATTTTGATTGACTGATTATGTGCCAACATATCAGTGTTGAATCTTAGCAACCACATACTGTAGATAGGTTTTCTCCATGAAAACCTTCCATGGACAAGGGTTTCTTCCCCAAAATGGCTTGCAATATATCAGTGAAGACTCAGTCATCCAGGCCAAAGGTATCTAAAAGTTCAATCATGGCAACTGGACCAATCTTTGTTAATCTATTAATCTCATCCAAGCAACTTTGAGTGCCTTCAAGAGTTCCCAGGGATCGAAGAAATATGGCAAAAAAACCTCTCTATGACAAAATCAGTTGCCTACAAGGAAAACCTATATAAGATGCTGTACAGATGGCATGTAGCACCCTCCAGACTCACTAAAAACTTTCCCAAATTAAACCCGAGCTGCTGGAAATGCAAGTGAACACAAGGTACCTTCTTCCATATCTGGTGCCTATGCCCAGAAATTAAAAAATATTGGACTAAGATAAAAACATGGATAGAGGAAATTACCCACTGTAGGTTAGAGTGGAAGCCGGAATTATTTCTCCTGGGAACCATTAAAGGAAAATATCCCCCTAAAATTAGATACTTGATTATACATATACTAATGGCAGCACAAATTGCGTTGGTGCAGCCTTGGAAGATGTCCACCACACCATCAAACAACATTATAATCCACAAAATCTTAGAATGTGCAGAGATGGATAGGCTCATGTTGAAATTAAAGGATAAGTATTATTTAATACGGAACAGAATATTATTTGGAACATTTGGTACCAATGGTTAGACAGTAAAGTATAATAAAGAAAGGTTACAAAAGGAATTTAAAAAGGGGGAATAAAATTGGAATATTAGCAAACAGACAGGATGAGGGAGAAGCTATAGAAATTGAGGAACTGCTAGAAAAAAAAGTAAGATTAAGATAGACATTCCGAGTAGGATCTACAATTACTTAGATATAAGGTAGAAACATACAGGAATATGTAATAATAAACGATAAAATTTGTGTTCCCTCCTCTCATATTTACGGAATATTAAACTATAGCACATAGTCTATAAATACTCTTGACGTTTGTTTTGTATATATACATATATTAAGTGTTAATATGACAGTCTTGTTTCTCATTTGTTTTTGTTTCTTTTCCTTTTCCTTTCTTCCCTTTTTACTTGAATTAGTGACCTATAAAGATGATATAGCTTTGTTTATTAACATTAAGAACTGTGAATTAATATAGTTAATATGGAAAGAAAACCTGTCAAATTCTAAGTTGAAAGTTGTTGATATAATTTCTATTCTAGAAACCTTTGTAAAGCTTTTTAACATTTTGTTTTTTGTAAACTTTTTAATATTTTGAACTTTAATGAAGTTTTTTTTTAAAAAAAGAAAAAGAGTTTCCAGGGATCTATGCTGAGAGTTATTACCTCAGCGTACCAGGTTAGAGAAGACCTTGTCCATTTCATTCAGTTTGGACACTTAAATAAATTTTCTGGATAGTTTAAATATTTTTTTCTAGGACAATCCTGCATTTGGATATAAATTTGCTGGGTCGTTGAAATATTTTTGGTGGGACAATCCTGCATTTGGATATAAATTTGCTAGATAGTTGAAATACTTTTTTTTTTCTGGGACAATCCTGTATTTGGATAGTGCTTTTCCGGTGAACCCGGCCCTCGTATTCTTGTAAAGGGGGTAACTGGTAGAATCGGAATGATTTACATTTTGCTTGGTTTCTAGGCGTTCCTTTCCCAAAGAATTTCATGTCTGTAGCTAAGACCATCTTGAAGCGTCTCTTCAGAGTTTATGCTCACATATATCACCAGCACTTTGATCCGGTTATCCAGCTTCAAGAAGAAGCACATCTCAACACGTCCTTCAAGCACTTTATCTTTTTTGTTCAGGTAAACAAATACAGCGATCAATGGCTCTGATTTAATTTTATACATACAAAATGATCCTTGTAGCTTTCAGCCATTTTAAGTGGGGGGAAACTCTTGGATTTTTCAGTAACTTAACTTAAAAACTGTTTACCAGAATCTTGACTTTGATGCTGTGCCACACTTGCATCACTTTAATTATTTAAATTCTGTGCCGCAGAATTGGGCACTTCTAAAAAATGCAGATATGTATATGCATAAAAGTAATGAAAGCAGGAAGTAACAATGCTGCTGTAATTTCAATCGTATTTCATCAACTACGAGATGAGAATTGAATGTGCAGTTCCACAGCAGAATTTGAAATGTTTTAGGATTTGACATATGGAAACATCCATCTTGTGGATACAAAATGTTTTGTTAGTGTAACATCAAACCGAGAATGTATCTAAATACCAGATGCTCCCCATATTGTAAAGTATAATGTAATACAATGATGTCATGTTGATAGTTTACAATTGCAGATTTCTGCTTATAGTAGCAGGATGGATTAGATTTAAAACATTACTTAGAAAACTCAGTTTAATTATTAAAATTATAATTAATGGTTTTAGGAATATTCTGTAGTACCTTTTCATTAGTTTTTTTTTGCCCCTTTCGTACTGATATTTATAGCATGCATTTTAATTCCGCTGTTTCATTTATCACCACTGTTCCCCTGCAGATCTTTGAAATATTAAAACTGCATTTATTCAGAACGTGGAACATTTTCTTCTCAAAATTCATCAACAGTTGTTCTATCATTATCATTCAGTGCAGTGTAATGTGCAACTATCACAACTAATGGATTTCTATTTTCATGCACAGTGACAACAGACTAAATTACATCTATTTATTTTTTTCTAACATATACTTTAGCTCTTTCATTTGTAATTTAAAAACTATACCTTGACTTTTCTGCATATAACTTCCTTCCCCTAAGGTCAAACCACCTCATTCAGAGTTATACATCCTTCTCTTTTCCCTTCACAGACACACGGCATATCTATTTTTCTTGTAATTTGTAAATTTGTACAGCTTACTGTTTATAGGTCTTATATTCCCAAGCACAGTCATTTCAGTGCTGTCCTTGTCACCATAATGGGGTCATGGACAGTGGCCTCTGCTGCCCATCATGCTTGGACAATTGAGACTTTCACTTAACTCTTTTTTAGATAGATAGATAGATAGATAGATAGATAGATAGATAGATAGATAGATAGATAGATAGATAACCTTTATTGTCACTTTTTTCTGTGAACACACTGGCAAACATTAAAGAATGAAATTTTGATGCCCGCTGTCAAAAGGAAAATAAATATATACCCATTCCCGTACCCATACATGCATGTGTGTGTGTGTGTGTCCTAAGAGGTGGAGCTCTCGCCTCACAATCAGGAGGCTGTGAGTTCGATCCTAGGTAGAGGCAGATATTTCTCTCTGGGCACACTGAGAATATATCTGCTGAAAAAAACTCTGCATTGGTGACAGGAAGGGCATCCGGCCAATAACCACTCGGCTCCATTCAGTTGCCCCAATTCCACCCCACAAGGGATTATGGGGCCATTAAAAGAAGATGATGATGGTGGTGGTGTGCGTATGCATATGTGTGTATGTACGTGTGTGTGTATGTGTATGCACACACACATACACATCCTATATACAACCAACATACATTTTATACACATGCCCACACTCACACGCACATTATAAATATACACATCACACCTATGCATGCTCATGTATCCCCAGTAGGTAATTTCTGGCTTGCTGTGAATGCCTCTAGAGATGGATAAAGTATATTCCTGAGAAGCAGGACTTTCTGACTTTTTCTCCCTAATCTCTCCCATAAACTGATTTTTGCTTCCAGTGATTTAATACCAGTAGTTTCCCTTAAGCATCCCACTGAGACTTTGATTTTGTTTCTACTTCCCACAGGAATTTAACCTTATAGACAGAAGAGAACTTGCTCCGCTCCAAGAACTGATTGAAAAACTCACTTCCAAGGACAGATAAGCGAAAATGAAAATGGTGGAGATCCCGTTTGTTTTCTTTAAGCAGGCATGTGGGGTTTTAGGGATTTGGGCTGAAATTCTCTACGCACTTAAAGTTCCACGGGACTTAACTCCCGAGTAAGTGTGTGGAGGAGGTTTGCAACCTTACGTTCGTTTGTTTTAGAAAGGAAAGGAAGCTTCTGTTTTAATTCAGGCAACCTAGATCCATTCTCTGTGCTTTTTATTAGTGAAACCTCTTTCACTTAGTGAGATATACAGTACACACACACACAGTAAATGGTTTTCTGTTCTTGTTCATTGTTATTGTTGATTTTTAGCAGATTGTTGTGTGTTAATAAAGGAAAATGACATGCTTGTTGGGAAATGTGACACTGCTAGTTGGAAAGTGCAGGATTGCCAGTCGTATATCATTCTCAGAAGGTCCTTAAAAGAGACTTAATCTTCTCTAAGTGCCTTGGTAGATTCTCTTCTGAGGTACAAAGCACATACAAAGAACATTGCTGGAAACAGAAAACACAAATAGCTACCCAGGACATTTATTAATACTTCTTATATGTAATTTAATATGTGCAAACCTTTTCTAAAAGCCATAACGTCTGTCAGTGATCTCCAATTTTTAAGAGAAAGCAATGACTTTAGAAGTGAACATAAGTTAGGGAAAAGAAGTCAGCAAGTAGCTCACTTTATTTTTATTAATAACATACTGAGCTACCCATCTGATACATCTTTGATATCGTAAGGGCCAAGAATAATTTTGGGCACACCGCTTTTCACAATTTACATTCTGCCAAGATTTTAACTCATTTTGATCTGAAAGTAGGATTATTTTTTTCTCAATCTGTACTTTATCAAACTGAACCTTAAACTTTCCTGTCCTTTAAATCAAGAGTCCTGCAGTGGCTTCAAGTCGAAATAAAAGGGAAATAGTTTCTATGGAATAATAATATTAATAAGGAAATATTTATAAATCTACCATAGCAATTTTAAAAATGGGGATAAAACAGCCCTAGTCTTTCAACTTTTAATAAGAGAAATTGTCTCAGTCTACTTAACATAGAGTATACTTACCATTTCATTCATGCCTTCTAAATCCATAGCCCCTTTATAAAATCTCAGCTGTACAAGAATGCTGTAAAGGAAAGCATTTATCTCTGCAACATGATACAGTGATATTTTGGGATTTTTTAGTGGGTGGGCATTTAAAATAACTTACTGTAATTGGAGGCACACTAATTTTGATTAAAAATTTGCAAAGTTGTTTTGCTTATTTTCCTCTCTTTTATCATAAAATATTTAGAATTTGGGATAATCCCTGCTGAGAAATTCAAAAACAAGAAGCCTATTTCTAATTTTGTGACCTAGGATCATAAGTTATTGTTCTAAATGTCAGGGCAGCTGAAACTCACCAGTGGTTTGAGCATTAAATCCAAAATGTTCCCATTTGTAAAACATTTTCGGGAACATCATACTTTTGTCTGCTTTGCCACAGTTTCAATGGACTGAGTGATACCAATTACTCTATATATCCTTAAATCCTAATCTTGAAGTTCACTTCCCAGATTATTATTGGGATTAGCTACACATCACATGAACATGTGCTGTGGATCCATATAAGAATATTTAAAGCCCATTAAGAATATTTAAAGCTCATTAAGAATACCTTAAAGTCTAATAAAGTCTAATATATACAACAATTTCACATAGAATGTTTTTATTGCATCTCTTCGGGATACTTTTAAGAACTGAAATAAAAAAATGCATACAGGATGTTCTTTACCCGAGAAGTAGATAATTAAAATTAGTCATATGAGAAAAAACAAAACAAATTACTATGCTTACACAATCCAGCTATACTCTTGATCCTTATAACCTGATAGCCTTTAATAACAATAGTTCTTCCTATGGATTTACTAAAAAAATGGAGTATGCTAACCAAAATCTTGGAAATGTTTCATAATGAGATTTGATCCTGGTGTTCGTAACACATTTTGTCAATATTTGATTTTAGAAGTCAGATTCCCAGTCCTGGTTTCTGAATCTCAAATTTGAAAGTTTAAATTGCTAATTGAAAAGATTTTTTGTTCACAGTTGGAATGTTGAAAAGAGTTTAGAGCTATGAGCCATTTTAAATACCTCCCATCTCCCATCTAGCGATTTTAAGATATCTGTTAAAAGACAAGAAAAATGATTAAGTATCCTCTCAACATTTTTGGATCTTGAAATATGTAAGACTTCAGAATAATGTTTAGTTACCGTAGAATATAAATTGGCCATAATAATTATCTCCCATCATTTTAGTCTTTAAATTTAAGGGACTCCTTGGAAACAATGACAAGAAATGAGGACTCCATTCATTGCTAATTTCCTTCTTGGATGATAAACACTTGGAGATCATTGACTAAGAGTGCTGTTGGGTTAACTCTTCTTATTGCATTGAAGATTGAAGCATTGACAATATTAAGACCACGATTATTCTGAACTTGATCAGCACTATAGAAGCTTTTAGTGGGATTGCTCCGGCAGTCTTGAAAATTCTTTATTGTTTAAAAGTGTACAGACAGAGAAAGCTTCCTTGGTCTTTCAGTTGAATACAGGCATTGAAAATTGAACACTGTGGTTATTATTTAAAAAAAAGTCACAGCCTGGAATCTAGCCTTTTCATTTAAAAGGACACCATGGTAGAAATCATATATACCTTTTTGATACCAAACATTAGACAGGCACTTATTTTTCCTCCCCTTATGACCAGGCGTTAACAAACACTGTGTTCCTTCCATGAAGAAGGAATAGCCTTAAAATGTCAGAACTGGCTTCATTTTCTGTATCACCTGACAGTGTTCTCTCTTGTCTTGGTTACCCACCCGCACAGGTAACCTACCTTAATTAGATGAGGCTGACCAAGCCGGATGGAGATAACTATAGATCCAAGTTCCTTAAAACCAGCTGTGTTGTGTTTTCTTGAGCCAGTGAGAGTGATTTAATCCAGAGGATTGACATTGGTGGGGAAAAAAGTTTTATCATCCTGGCCCTCAAAATTACAAGCCTACTTCACACATCTGTGTCAGGGATTGTGCTAATTGTGCAAGGATAAAAGTATCCTGCTTTTTGTCCACTAGTAGTAAGGTGGGCTTTAAAGAGATAACCTTTAAAAGGAAAATTCCCCCTTTTCAACCGCTTGCCAACATTTCTTTAACAGCTTACTATGCAAGAGTGAATTTTGAATATTCACTGGTAATCTTGTAGAACCAGAGGCTCCATTACGAATTCAGAATTGACACCGTTCTCTCAAACTTATCCCATAGGCAAAAAGTCAATGCTGCTATAGACTGGACTTTTTTTTTTTTAAATTCCCATGACTGAAAGCCTTTTCTTAGATTTCCATATAAAGATTATTTTTCTGAGGGGGGAGGGAAGTGTGTGTGTGTGTGTGTGTTGATTTATTTGAAAAGTAATTTTAAGACATATATTCTTTTCCCCAAATACTAAAGTGTAAGTGAAATGCCAGAATTCCTATTTTAAAATTGTAATATGAAGTTGAACCTGTCAGTTTTTCAGCTACAATGCTCTCATATTGCTTAATTCATTTTACGCAGGGAAGGTGGGGTGGATAAATTTCATTTCCTAATAGGCAAAAACTATTTGGTTTTCCTAAACTGCATTTCTAGAACCACTAGTCACGTTAGAGGTATATTTCCATTTATGTCTATTGCACATGTGTTTCCTTTTTAAAACATAAATTCACTCCTGCGGTAGCAGAATAACTCCAATTTTAAGATGCTTTATTTGCTTATTTTCTTTCCCAAGAGCACTGTCCTTTCAATAGTTTTTTCATAGATTAATGTATTTTTAGGGAAAATTAATTTTTTATAGCCACTAAACTGTACTCATTATTTTTGTACACTTATTACTAGGTTATTTGGAACACAAATCTTTTGAAATGTCATTTGGTTCCATTTTTGAATTTACTCACTGATGTCGTGTTGCTAAATATTATCATGAGAATCAATGCATTTGAATATGTAGTGGGGTGGGGAAACAGATTTGAGAAGAAACTATTTCTGGTCCTTTCGGTATCTAGATAGATCTACCAAGGGTCCTTCTTCATGCAGCATATTAGAAAAATATAGGAGCAATCTTTTTTCTGTGCTCTCTTGGTGAAGAGTAGAGAAAGATCCCAGGGAAACTGGCTATTCCTTTAGTATAGCCTTCCAAATGGATCTATTGTGGCAATTACTTCCTTTCCTATTGAGAGAATCTATAACCAGCAGAATCAACCTGAAGCAACTCAACTCAAAATTTGAACACGTTTCTGGAGATGCGGAAAGTTTTTGGTTAACCTTCCAAGTTTCCACCGAGGAAACACAAAATCTGGAAGCTTTGGAAAAGCCATTTGATTCAGCTGATGAAATTAAGGGAGATCCTGTGTGCTAGAATTTATGCTGCATTAGGGATAGAAAGTTGACCTTCCTCAGTGATACCCTCTCTATTAAAAGAAAAAGGTAGCTGCTTATTAGAGAGGAAAAGGTAATAGTCAATGCTGGACACACACACAAAAAAATCATTTAAAAATAAAAAATGCAACGTAATCTGTACTGTAAGCAAACTGTGCCAATATATTACTTCAGTTAAATCACTTAAATCAGTACCTGTTCTATCTGAAAAATGGCTTTTTAATGAAAAAAAAATGATTAAAAAGTTCGATGTCTGAAATTCTGCAACACATATATTGGAAAAGATGTAAATAATGTATACATATTGTTGTAAGTGATGGGATAAAAAAAAACTATATAAATTCTAGGCTTTTTCAGTAAGGAAAATGGATGCTGTTTATAAGAAGAAAAATAAATAGCTATGTTTGACATGACTGTTTTTTTTTCCCCTTCTCATACTTATAGTTTTAAATAGATGAGATTCATATGTATCTGTACATTGTGCACACCTGATCATTCCTCGATAGATGTGCCCTGCGATCACCTCTCATGGATTTGTTAACTGTACTGCAAGCAAGACGAAATGGCAATAAAACAAACCCATATCTATCCAGTTCCTTCACTCAAGTTACCAAAAGATTGATGTATAAATGGTAGAACAACTGGAAAGGAGATTGTGTGGTTGTTTTTGCCTAGACATAACAGACCCGTAATGAACCTCATTCATTTTGGATAATGATTGGATTCTTTTTATTCAGTATACACGGAATCAGAGGTGGTATTCAGCAGGTTCTGACCCGTTCTGGAGAACCGGTAGTGGAAATTTTGAGTAGTTCAGAGAACTGGCCAATCCCACCTCTGACTGGCCCCGCTCCCATCTCTTCTCTGCCTCCTGAGTCACAGCTGACTGGCTGGCTCTTCTTTTGTTGCCCTGCACAGGAGAACGGAGCTGGAAAGCAGGTTAGTGGGGAGGGAATGGGGATTTTACAGTATCCTTCCCCTGCCACACCCATCAAGCCACACCACGCTCACCAAGCCAAGCCCACAGAACTGGTAGTAAAAAAAATTGAATCCCACCGCTGCACGGAATACTTTCGCTTTTGATTTGGAACCAGATTCCAATAACATTTAGAATGAAAGTTTGGGTAGCATTCCTCACCATCTTTCCATGATGATGATGATGATGATTCTTGCCCCAGCTAGTTCTACCTGGATCAAACAGCCCCATTTTGTTCCATACAGGAATCAACACTTTCAGGGTTGAGCCTGGACCCCTGCAGATTCAAGGCATTTTACAGATTTCTAGTATGTTTGTGGGTGTGTTTTCATGCCTGGGAAGATGGATGAAGAGTTGAATGCATGCCTACATTAAAGAACCCTAAACCTTCCCCAAATCATTTGCTAAGGGACACACACACACACACACCTGTTAATTACAGGTAGTCCTCAACTTAATTCATTTAGTGATTGTTTGAATTACAATTGCACTGAAATAAATGAATTGTGACCATTTTTCACACTTATGACTCTTGCAGCATCCCCATTGACACGTAATCAAAATTTGGACATATGGCAGCTGCTTTATATTTATGACAGTTGCCCAGGGTTATGTGATATCACCTTTGCAATGGGGAAGGCAGATTCATTTAACAACTGTATCACTAACTTAACAACTGTAGTGATTTGCTTAATAATTATGGCAAGAAAAGTTGTAACATGGGGCAAATCTCACTTAATGACTGTCTTGCTTAGCAATGGAATTTTTGGGCTCAATTGAGATTTTTAGTTGAGAACCACTTTCATGTGTAATCATCATGGTGAATTTCACAGAGCGAAGCATGCCTACCTTATCGTTCAGATAAAAATATTGGTTCATCTCATTTTAGGGAAAAATATATTATATCCTACTTACCACACCTTTCCACTTAATCCTCTCTTCATCCAAGTTGCAGTTTCCATATTGATTTTATTTTTAGCCTGCCTTTATTACTTTATAAATTCCTTAGTCAGGACAAGATGGACTCCTAGATTATTATGATTGGTTGCACAGTCAGCCAAATTAGATTTGCCATTTTTGTCCATCTCTTGAGATTGAGAAGGATCTAGGATAGGTAGGTATCGATATTTCTCAACACATGCTGGCTGGGGAATTCTGAGAGTTGATGTCCACCCATCTTAAAGTTGCCACAGTTGAGAAACCCTGGAGGTATTGTTGTTTGATAAAATCAAAGGTATCATTGCAGAATTTCCTCCACTATTCTAGTCTGTGGCTTTAAGATAAATACTGTTTAGCAAGATAGAGGAGGTATCTGCCACATATACTACACCCCCCACCAGTGATATCACCAATAATGACCAGTTTGGAACCATGATGATGTTGGCTAGGAGACAAACTCAACTCAAGCTCAATTTCTCTGCAACATTCTCATGCTGAAGAAGTCCAACATCTCACTCCCCGAGACAGAAATTTTCAACCTTGGCACCTTTCGGGAATTTTGAAGTCCATATATCTTAAAATTGCCCTGGGAAATCTATGAATTTATTGACACCAGTTTGTCCATGGACATGGCAGAAACAAAAAAAACACACTTTATATGCAGTTTCTCCTTCGCAGTGGATGCAAAGTGTTTTTTTAAATAAATTTTATTAATTTTCTATTCATTACATTCCTTAGTGCTTAATAAACATCATATTGTCTGGGTATTTAATTTGCTTAACAATATAAATGCCATTCTTACTCACTACCCCTTTTTTTCCAACCTCTGGTAAAATAAATTCCAAGTTTGATAATATTCTGTGTTGTCTTTCTGTTTGATTTTTAATGTAAGCCTGTCCATTTCTGCACAGTCTAGTATCTTCTTAATTATCTCTTCATCTTGAGGTGTTTCTTCATCTTTCCAATATTGTGCAACGATAATCCTCGCTTTCATTAAGACAGTAATACCAAATACATACTTATCAATTTTTTCTGATATAACCCCTAATATGAACAGTTCAGGTTTAAAATCTACATGTTGTTTCCCTTTTATCTTTTTCTAGCCATTTATGTATTTTGCCCGTTTTTTTTTTTTAGCACAAGTCCACCACATCTGATAAAATATTGCCCGTCTTTTGATTACATAGACGCAAAGCTAACTAGACAGAATAATGATTTGAAGAAAAAAAAAAGAACAACTCCCCCTTCTAGGGGGGAATTAATTTTGTCCGGGATGGAAAGGGTGCCTGCATCCAAGCAACCGCATCACAACTGAGCAATCGATGCGCTCGGAGCTCCCACTGCCTCTCTTTCCGGCTGAATCCGTTTTTCGGTCTACGATTAAACTTCCTTTTTTCTCTCTCAAAGTCGGCATCGGTGCCTGGCGGGTGAGTCCCCCCCACTTTGGTAATGCTGGGCTCTTTCCTACTAAGCCGCGCTGTAAACTAGACGGGGCGTTCGCGTTTCCACCTCACCTTTTCTGTCCCTCTCGGGCTCCCGTTAGCGGAGCCACAGAAGCGATTTGAGAAGAGGTCGCCTGACAACCAAGCGGGGGGAGGGCGAGCGGAAACTGGGCCAATTGGGCGGAGCTTTTCGCGTGACGTCACTGGGCGGCGCAGCCAACCTCGATTGTTCCCGCGCCAGATTCGAAATCCGGCGGAGAGGATACAAGCTGCATTTGGCATAGCCGGCGAAGTGCGTTCCCGCGGTTTTTTGTCCTTCCTGCGCTACCGTTTCTTTCTTTCTGAGGGTGGTGAGAGAGCTCCGTTTGGTTACCGGCGGGCCGTTTCCATGGCAACCCAACCCAAGCGAAGCCGGAGCACCGTGAAGAAGATCGCCATCGAGGGCAATATAGGTAAGCCCTGAAAGAGGGTCGCTCTGCAGTGAAGCCGCTTCCTTAAGTAGATAGGGGAACCCGTGTAAACGTAATATATCTTGGTTTCAGTCAGATCTGGCTCTGCTGTTTACCGTAAATTCACCGTGGTTCCTCAGCTACAGGGAGTCCTCAACTTACAACCCCAATTGAGCCCAAGATTTCTGTAGTTAGGTGAATTTTGCCCAGTTTGGAGACCTTTTTTTGCCAAAATTGTTAAGGGAATCACCGCAGTAACCCGGTTGTTAAGGGAATCTGGCTTTCCCCCCATGGATTTTGCTTTCGAGAAAGTCGCAAAAAGGGGATTGCATGACCTTAGGACCCATCAACAGTCGTAAGTATGAATCGGTCTGAATTTTGATCACGTGGCCCTGGAGGTGCTGAAAAGATTCTAATAGAAAAATGGCCATAAGTTGACATTTTTCAGTGCCATTGTAACTTTGAATGGTCACTAAACGAACTGCCGTAAGACAAGGACTACCTGTATAAATTAGTGAATTAAGTTAATTGGGTATGCTTATTCGTGCACTGGTGTATTATTAATTTTTATTTATTAAACAAAGTTATACTGCCGCCCAACTCATGCATAGGTGACTCCAGGGGGTTACAACATTCAAAAATTCAACCATATAGAATTCTTTATTTAGAATAGGAATAGAAATTCTTTATTGGCCAAGTGTGATTGGACACACAAGGAATTTGTCTTGGTGCAAAAGCTCTCAGGGTACATAAAAGAAAAGATACATTCGTCAAGAATCATAAGGTACAACATTTAATGATAGTCATAGAGTACAATAAGCAATCAAATCATACCAGGAAACAGTCAATATAGATCTTAAGGATACAAGCGACAAAGTTACAGTCCTACAATCACAAGTGGGAGGGGATGGGTGATAAGGAGTGATGGTAATAGTAGTGCAGACTTTTTAAATAGTTGGACAATGTGGAGGGAATTATTTGTTTAGCAGAGTGATGGCATTCGGGGAAAAACTGAGTCCTCGTGTCTAGTTGTTCTGGTGTGCAGTGCTCTATAGTGTCGTTTTGAGGGAAGGAATTGAAACAGTGAGGGGTCTGTAGATATTTTCACAGCCCTCTTTTTGACTCGTGCAGTATATAGGTCCTCGATGGAAGGCAGGTTGGTAGCAATTGTTTTTTCTCAAAACCCGTAAGAAGTCCCCCTCCACACACCCTCTTTTTAAAGATTGGAACTGCAAATGAGATGTAGTCAGGATGACTACAGAAATCTTCTAGCTCAGAATGATAGAAAATAACATTCTACAATATTCTATATTCTAGCTCAGTTTGGCTCTAAATTCCTATTTTTAGTTTGGAAGTTGATGTCTGCGAAATGATGCACCTTCTTAAAACAGACATCGCTTTTTTTGCAGGTCCAAGTTAGGGAAACGGTTGTTAAGTGAGCCTGGCTTTCCCATGGAGTTTGCTTGTCAGAAAGTTGCCAAAGGATATCATCACATGACTCTGGGACACCTCAACTGTCATAAACATAAGCCAGCTGGCAAGCATGTGAATTTTGATCACATGACCATGGAGATGCTGTACTGGTCATAAGTGCTTTAAAAGCTTAGTTATGTGCTCAGGTATAGGGCCCCAAATGGGTTAAGGACCCCATTTCTTGGCTTGGCTGACAATTATTATAACTTTCTCAGCTGCTGTATATATTTATTTTGTAATTAATTGTTTTAGAATTGTTTGCCATCCAGAGTCACTTGGTTCAAGGTGGGTGGCTGTAGAAATTAAATCCATAAACGATTCCTTTTTCAAACTGGTAGCGATTTCTAAAGAGAAGCCCAGAATCTTACTGGTTTGATGAGTATCGTCTCTTCCTTAGCCGCCGGCAAATCTACCTTTGTGAATATTCTCAAAAAAGCCCGAGAGGAATGGGAAGTTGTTCCAGAGCCGTTGGCAAAATGGTGCAATGTTCAAGACAGCCACGATGACTCTGAGGTATGATAAATAGTGATTGTATGAATTGGCCACCATAAGAAATAGATTTTTGAGACAAAACCGAGAAGGGACAAGATACTGCATGCTGCTAGGTTCCATGTTAGATAAGTTGTATGACATGGATAAGCAACTGTCAAATTGAAGGGTGTGTCCAGAATTTGAGAACATGTAAATCTATCATTGAAGCAAAGCCGATTTTTAATTCTCACATTAATTTTTATGAATGTTTAAACAGGAGCTGACAGCCTCACAAAAGAGTGGTGGAAACCTTCTTCAGATGATGTATGAGAAGCCGGAGAGATGGTCCTTTACTTTTCAAGCCTACGCCTGTCTGAGCAGAATCAGGGCTCAGCTCAAATCCCTTGAAGGGAAATTAAAAGAAGCTGAGAACGCTGTGGTTTTCCTTGAACGATCAGTTTATAGTGACAGGTAGCCATGTGGTTCTTGATAACAGCCTCCTTATGTCATCTCCCCTTAGTTCTGCATCTCATCCATCCTTTCAGTGTTTGGAAAAATTGAAAAGCTTTCCTCTTTCCAATCATGGAATTGGTTTCTTGATACTTGATTGGATTAGAAAAATTCAGATATGTGACGTTCAACTTCCAGCATTCTTAGCAATGGCCATTTTAACTGGGGGATTCTGGGAGATGAATTCTGAAGAGTACATACAGACTTTGGGGAAGGTTGGACTATAGGAGAGAGGCAATATTGAGGGTGGGCTTCTGTCTTATTTCTTATTCTTTTGCTATAGAGAAGGTAGTATGCACAATATATATATTTAGCCTGTATGCATATACAGGTAGTCCTTGACTTAGGACCACGATTGAGCCCAAAATGTTTGTTGCTAAGTGAGACATTCAGTTTTGCAACATTTTACAAACTTTCTTGCACAGAACCTTCATAAATATGAGTCAATTCCCAAGCGTCTGAATTTTGATCATGTGACCATAGGGTTGCTGCAACTGTCGTAAGTGTGAAAAACGGTTATAAGTCACCTTTTTCAGTGCTGCTGTAACTTTGGTCACTAAACAAACTACTCGTCAAGGACTCCCAGTATAAATTACTTTTAAGTAGCTACCCCTGAACAAACGCTCATGCTGTTGCCAGAGCTTTAGGATCCTGTCTTTATAGCAGTTCATTTATCAATTTCCATAGCCACTCATCTCACAATTGCAGTGAAGAATTGGCAACAGTTAAACTGGCTGTGAGAATTATTTTTGTTTTTAGGAACTCTTTTGTTCTAGGTTCAAAATAAAAAAATTCCCATCTTAGGATAATTGAAGCTAAATTGAATTCTTTATTTTTCTGGAAAGGTACATCTTTGCATCCAATTTATATGAATCTGATTGTATAAACGAAACAGAGTGGACTATTTATCAAGACTGGCACAGTTGGATGAATCAGCAGTTTGGATCAAGCCTTGAACTGGATGGCATTATTTATCTCCGAGCTACTCCTGAAGTAAGAAATAAAGCTTTATGAATACATATTAAAAAGCTGATATTTTAAGTTGTTGCTCTTTTCCTGTCAGAGGGCGGCATTTTGCTTTCTTTCAGTTTTGTCTGAAAATCCTATTCCATTTTTACCTTTTTTCTTTCTTTCTTTTTAGAAATGCTTGGATAGGATTTATATCCGTGGAAGGGATGAAGAGCAAGGCATTCCCATGGAATATCTGCAGAAACTCCATTACAAACATGAAAGCTGGCTCCAGCATAGGACATTACGGTATTTTATTTCCCTGATTGTTTACGGAGATTCGCAGTCATCCAGGTCATGGTCGCTCCAAAGGTGCTTTTTCAAAAAGCAACTGGATTTTCTCTGTTTTTCCTTGAAGACGCTTCACGTCTGTAATGTCCAGAACTAAAGAAGCTTCTTGGATGAAAAGTGGAAGGTCTTCAATGAAAAACCAAGAAAGTCCAGGTACCTTTTGAAAAAATACATACAGATGTAGTTCCTGCTACATCTATCTGGTGACATTCTTGCAAAAGTGTGTTGCTTTGAGAGATGAACCATTCTGTCCTTTGAGATGACATTGGGCCCTAAGCAAATCTGGAGGTGGCTATCACTGGAAGTTGTGTCTTCCCTAGTGAACTAGGCAATTGGGAGGTCCAATTTCAGAATAACAGGGTTGGAAGGGACCTTGGAGGTCTTCTAGTCCAACCCTCCACTCAGCCAGGAAACCCTACACCAGGCCTGTCAAACTGGTGGCCCATGGGCCAGATGGATCCACGCCCACTCTGGCTCTGCCAAGGTAAAAAACCATCACTATATGTCACAATACGTCACGTGATGCGATTGAGTTCAACATAAATTGGACAACAAATGGTTGTCCAATCTATAGTCACATGAATTTATTAGATAAATAGATAAATAACCACTAGTTGAAATATTTCAGTCAGTGGAAATTGTCAGAGACTTTCCATTTCTAAAAATATATCTATTTTCATTACTGACTGTAATTTTAAAAGCTCTTTTATTGCTCTTTAGTACCGTAATTAGTGTGGCTATTAGGAATTATAGGCCTGGACAATTCTGGCCTTTAAAGACACATTAGCAAAGAGGTGGGTGATTCAAGGTAAATGGGGCTTGCTTCAGAACAGGTGTTATAGGATTTCTACATATTTTTGAATGAAATTCTCTACCTTTCTTAGGTTTCCAATTCAAATTGCAATTTTTTGTTGTTTACAGGACAGAATTTGAATACTTGCAAAAGATACCCGTTCTAACCCTGGATGTAAATGAAGATTTCAAAGGCAACAGAGACAAACATGAAAATATGATTGAGAAGGTAAAACTTACCAAAGAGTAATACTTTATTTGTTTCCAAGTGACTCTTAATAATCAAGAGCTTTGTCCTTGAATTTGTCTATTGAAATCTGCATGCCCAGCTAGGGAATACTTGGAGTTAAGTCTTAAAGTTGCTAAATTTGACAAACACCGCGTTAGGGCATTGTTCATATACTGTCATAAAATACCAATTGGCATAATGTCCTTAAAGTCCTCAGCCACTAGTTAAGCAAATGCCCTTATTAGTGCTTCCGACAGCAGACATCCAACAAACCCAGGGTAAATTAAGATCAATTTTTTTTTCTGGTTATCATATTTATAGATCTTTAACTGTGTGCATATTCAGAATATTCTCACAACTCGGCTCCCACTTTTATTTAGCGAGTTTATTAAACTGCTACTTTCACTCTTTTATTTTGCAGGTCCAAGAATTTTTAAGTACATTATAGCATTTCCAGAAGTCTAACTGCAGCTGAATGTTCCCCGCATTTGGATCAGTTATTCATTTTATCAATGCCTGATTTTGCTTAACCAGGTTCAACTATATTGTGTGGTTAAATATTGCTAGGACCTGGTTTTGTGTTTGCTGGGCATGAAAGTTTGTTGCCAAAAAGAACTGAAGAGAGGACTTGATATGAACAAGTGTCACGTCCTTATAGCATGAATGAAATACTTCGTTAAGTCTACTGATGTCTCTGTAATTAGCAAAACTTGGAGGGTGTGTCAAATTTCATCACATTTAATCATCTATGTTCCTGTGGGATGATATAGGGCAGCAACTCCCCCTATAAACTGGAGATAAAAAATGGTTTCCTAGCTTGCATTTGACCCTTGCATTATATCTTTAAGTGAAGCAAATTTTTGTAACTGGATGGAAGTTAGCAAAAAGATGGATTGTAGGTAAGCGGAAACAGATTGCATTTCCTTGGAGTGTGGATATAATTGACAGGTAAACTGAAAGCAGCCACTCATTTTTTTCTGTATGTGTTGTGATGTCGCATGCCTGTTCAAAAGGAGCACAGTTTGCATTGCAATGGTCTCGTACTGCTTGGATCTGATTAATTTTTTTCAGTCCTGAATCCAACTGTGTTCTCAAGGCAATTCCCCCAGTTTTCTAGCATAGTCTATCGACTTCTTCCTATAGAACAAAATGCCCAAAGTAAAACATTTATCGCTTCTTGGTATTCAAACTTTTGTTCTTTCCTTCACTCGGAAAGTCATGCCAAGCTATGCATCAAAGTTACAAGGATGCCAAACCGAATCACCTAGGTAAATCAGGACTATTTAATGACTTCTGCATTGCCCCAAAATGTGTGTTTTATTTAAGGTTTTATGTATTAGAATAGTCTAAGGCAGGAGTGTCCAACTTTGCAACTTTAAGATCTGTGAACCTGGCTGGCTGGGGAATTCTTGGAGTTGAAGTCCACAGAAAGTTGCAAGGTTGGCTGGACTAAGGCGTAACTGGCTGCAGCCAATTTGTATTTAACTGCTTTCTTGCTTCATGTTTATTGATTTTAACGCACTGCTAAATGTTCCACTTAAACTTGGGGAGTTCTCTTAAAACACTTGGACCTATTTTATATTGTCATAGGAATTCTGGAAAGAAACTTCAGAAGTAACAGTGTTAAAACTCTCTTTACCATTTCATGTTTTAAAACTGCAATGCATCAAATTGTATAGCCCTCTGAAATGGATTTACTCTTACATGGTGTCTTTAGGTATAGTCAAACGAGTCCATGTTTTTAGCCTCTAAAGATGTACAACATTTGATCATCTTGGAAACTTTTTTCCTAAAATAAAGATCGAAAACACCACATTTCTGTATCATTAATCATATAAATAAACCTTAACCGTGTGTCAATATAATTCTTAGGTGCCAGGCTGGATTTCTTTGGCTGCATTTCTTTTTAAAAATGCTAAGATCGCAGGACTTTAAAAAAGAAATTGAGGATACTTTGTGCTCAATATATTCTATACTGAAGCCTCAAGCATTGTTGGCTCAAACATTTATAGAATAAAGGAGTGTTTAGGATAGGGCAGCAGTCACACTTCTCTGCCAGGTCTGTAGCCACGGCCAGCTGGTCTGTGCATAAAATAGCCGTATCACCCAGCAACAATGCCCATCTGCCTCCTACTGAGCCCATAAGCATTCCTCGTATTCATTGTTGCCATTAAAACTGGTTTCACTGTCTGCAAAAAGTCCTCTTAAAAGCATGATGTATCAGTTGCAAAAAGCATGGATTAATGAGGCTCAGAGCAAGAAAAACCAACCAAATACCCCTTTAAAAAATCATCATCACCTCAGTAGCTTACCCAAGTGTGCCTGGCATATTTCCAAAACAGCCTTTGAATTTCTTGATAAATTAAGAGCTTGAAGAGAATGGTGGGCATAGGCAATGTGGTTTGGTTGATTTCATTTAGCAACTAATGAATCCGTAACAAGGCTTATGGAAGGATTACGGGGAGTCCTTGACTTAGGACCACAGCTGAGCCCAAAATTTCTGTTGTTCAGCAAGACCGTTGTTAAATGAGTTGTGCCCCGTTTTGCAACCTTTCCTGCCACAGTTGTTGAGTGAATCACTACAGTTGTTAGTAATATGGTTGTTAAGTGAATCCAGCATCCCCATTGACTTTGTTTTTGTCAGAAGGTCACAAATGTTGATAAATGTGAGCCAGTTAACCAAGCATCTGAATGTTGATCACGTGACCACTGGGTTTCTGCAGCGGTCATAAGTGAAAAATGATCATAATTCACTTCTTTCTGTGCCGATGTAATTTCACATGAATGGTTGCAAGTCGAGGACTACCTGTATGAAAGTTGAAAGAGCTTTGGACTTCACATAAACTCTCTCTGCCCTTGTAACTTTGGAACAGTCACTAAATGAACTTATAAGTCGAAGACTATCTATATTCGTAAATAGCCACTCGCTGTTTTTGTTTATAATTATACTTTATAAATTTTTTTTGGGGGGGGGGGGGTTTGCCAGCAGATTATTTGCAGTTATTTCTAAATCATGGCCAGAAGTCCACATTTGGAAAATCTTCCTCCAGCTCCTTCACCGTCTGTGACAACAACAGATGTCTCCCACGTGTTTCTTGGCAGGTCCTGCAAAAAAATTCCCCCAAACGGAGACTGTCGAACCACAGCTTCACAATGGGCCACACAACCACTTGGGAAAATGCATTGTGGTGCCACACGGGGCCGCTGCCGGCTCGCTCTTCACCAGCGGGGATTTTAAACGGTCGACCTGCGGTAGCCAAATCAAGAGAGGTCACTCTTTTCCTTCGCCCCAAAGCAGCCGCATTAAGGACTTTGTAAACGGCCTTCTGAATTGGCAAGGACTGGAAGAAAGCCGGAAGGATTTAAACAGAAATATGGTCTATATGCTGGGAATTCTCTGGCAATCTTTCAACTTCCCAGCTGTTCAGCTCTGCGGTGAGATGGAAATGCTTAGATAATGCTAATCCTGGCGTGGCTGCCTGAGAATTATCTTCCAGGCAAAATGTATCGGGCCCCAGTCCAAACAGCTGGCCCAGTCATATTTCTCCACAGGTTATCAAGCAGGAACAGTAACCACTATTATTAATATAATTAATAGAGGCACTCAGTAGTGGTAAGTCATGTATCTACCATAGAAATTAAGGCTTGCTTATCTTTAAGTACACATCGGACTTTCTCAGCCTTAAACCTACCAGCATTTTTGCATAAACTTAGGTTCTAGAAAAGGAAGAAAAGAATTCTACATTAAAAGTCTGGGAATTTTTGAGCCTTTTTATATAAAGAAAGTATAGGTAGATCTTGATTTACAACCACAGTTGAGCCCAGATTTTTCCATTGCTAAGCAAGGCAGCTGTTAAGTGAGCTTTGCCCCGTTTTCTGACCTTTCTTGCCACAGCTATTAAGTGAATCACTGCAGTTGTGAAGTTCGTAACACGGTCGTTAAGTGAACCTGGCTTCCCCATTGACTTCGCTGGTCAGAAGGTTAGAAAAGGTGATCACGTGACCCCAGGACACTGCAGGCGTCATAGGTATGAACCATCAAAGCATCAGAATTTTGATCATGTGACCATGGGGATGCTGCAATGGACTTAAGTGTGAAAAGTCACTTTTGGTGCCATAGTGACTTCGAATGGTCACTAAACGAGCTGTTGTAAATTGAGGACTACCTGTACTGGATCAGCCACAATTGGTTGATGTGGCAGGTTAAATCATGCAGCAGGACCTCAACTGGGTTTTTCTGATGTGGGTTTATAAGACACTTCTTGTGACAGAAGAATGCTTGTGTCACAATTGCAGGATTGTCTTGCTCTTCTCCATAACTTTCTCATCCCAGCATCGTGTCCACGAAGTTCTAGCCTGAATCATTGCTTCCTCATTCTCAGTTTCACGTTTTCCAAATGAAATCAGTTTTTTGTCCTTACCCTCTTCACACACACAAATGCATAACACTGTTTTTCTCTCCCGGTGATGCGCTGCCTGCTCAGGAGCAACATTTCATCTGCTGATTTTTATCAGCAACCTGATCTTAATTCCTTCCATCGGTTTCCCAATCTCAAAACACGGTTCCTGCGGAATATTCCACCTATTGTCCTTTCATCACCTTAAACAACCTGAGCTGATCTTCGGAACACTAAACATGGTTGGAGGTGCTTGGAAGACATAATTTATATACCAGGTAGTCCTCGACTTAGTACCATAATTGAGCCCATTTTAACTGTTGTTAAAGTGATTTTTTTTTAACTTTTACAATCTTTTTTGCCGCAGTTTTTAAGTAAATACCTCCAGTTGTTAAGTTAGTAATGATTGTTAAGTGAAATCTGGCTTCCCCCTTGACTTTGCTGGTCAGAAGAGGGCAAAAGGTGATCATGTGACCCTGGGACACTGACCGTCATAAATCCGAGTCAATTGCCAAGCGGCCGAATTTTGATCATGTGACCATGGGGATGCTACAACAGTAATAAATACAAAAAACGGTCATAATTCACTTTTTTCAGGGCTGATGTAGCTTTGAATGGTCACTAAACGAATCTAAGTCAAGAGCTACCTTTATTCGTAAAATTACAATAAGATCATTCTTGAATTATGGCCACTATTGAGCCCAAAAATTCTGTTGTTAAAGGAGAAGTTTTTAAAATGAGTTTTGCCCCATTTTTCAACCTTTCTTGCCACAGTTAAGTGAATCACTATGGTTGTTAAGTTAGTAACACCGTTGTTAAGTGAACCTGGCTTCTCCATTGACCTTGCTTGTCAAGAAGGTTGCAAAAGGGGATTGCGTGATCCCTGGATATTGCAAGTGGGAGCTTCATCACTTGAGACTTTCAAGAAGAGACTTGGGCTGCCATTTGTCAGAAATGGTGTAGGGTCTCCTGCTTGGGCAGTGGGTTGGACTAGATGACCTACAAGGTCCCTTCCAACTCTGTTAATCTGTATGGATAATGTCTTGACTGGCTGCTGGCAGCATAAGGGAAGAGCATTCTTTTTCTTATGTCATCTATCTTGAGACCAGTGAACTGGCTAAGTACATGCCAGTTGCCAAGCATCTGGATTTTGATCATGTGACCATGGAAATGCTGCAATGATGGTGAAAAAAACGATCCTAAGTCACTTTTTTCAGTGTTGTAACTTTGAATGGTCGCTAAATGAATGTCAGTCGAGAACTACCTGTGTTCATAAAACTCATGAAGTTCATAGATTCCTTTCAGAGTCATCAATGTGCAACCAAAACTAATATAAGAGGCCATTTTCTAACATTTGATTACTTCGTGTGACACCTGCAGCCAGCCTATCAAGAAATTGCACAGCTGGGTGTCCAAATAGAGTCAGAGACGCTGACCCGATCTTGTACTTTTATATAAATAAATATATTTTGCATTTCTATTTATATCCGTCGAGATAGGCACGTCACTACATCGTGAGGTAAACCGTCAGGTAAATCACAGAACAGCCTACAGAACACCCAGAAGGAGAAAAAGGCGGGAAAAAAGGGGACCTCCCCTTTTACACCCAGCACCCAATCATAATGTAGATTGCCTCATGCAAGATCTAGCATTCTGCAGTCAATCAACTACAACTCTGTTTTCTGGCCCATTATACACTTTACTGTTCCAGCTATACATAAAACAATATAAAATAAAATAAAAATTGTTAAGTTAAAATTTAATTTTTTTAAAAAAAATTTTTTTATTAAAACATTTTTTCATATATAAATCATTTCCATTCATTGCAACGTTTCATGACGATATACATACTTTTACATAAATCTTAACTATCTGTACATTTGTCTATATTCCTTAACCTATCATTGTATCTTCATACAATGCATTCATGTCAAATAATAATCCGTTTCCTCTGTCTTTTATCTCCATAGTCAATTTATCCATCTCGGCGCACTCTAGTATCTTTTCTTATCACATTTTCTTCTAGTGACATACTATCTTTTTTCCAATTTTGTGCGTAAGTTATTCTTGCCGCTGTTAATAAATGTAGCATTAAATATTCTGTTTTCTTATCATATTTTCCTGTTATTATACCTAATAGAAAAGTCTCTGGTCTTAGTTCAATTTGTTGTTTAATTATTTCTTTTGTCCATTTTTTGTCCTTATCCAGTATTTCCTTGCTACAGGGCATTAATTAAATTTCTTAACACAGCCCAAAGTCAATCCTTGTTTAGGAAGACTGTTTCTACCCAAGATGAATCCTTGCTTATGCCTGGGAACGAGATTGCCTTCAGCATGGGCCGTTCAAAGGTCTCGATTGCTTTCGATCCTGGATCTCATTCTTTGAGGCTGGGAAAGTATTAGCAAGGGA